ATTGGTTAAAACTTAAAAGAAATATGCAGAAAATGTTTCGTTGTCAAAGGAAAAATCCGAAGGACAAACTGGGAAGTGAGAGAGCAAAATTAAGTTAGAAGTCCAGATATTTATATAAGTTTTTTTTTTTTTTTTGGGTTGGTGAAAGCTTGTTACTTGGAATATAGGGACGAGAGAGAGAAAAGTCGAACTTGTACGAAAATTCTTTCTCGCCCAACTCTCTGAAACACCACCCCTCAGATCTGTGTGCTGATTCTGAACATGGGTTTGTAATGTGTGTGAGTTGGCAGTGAAGAATGGCGTCCGATACGGCGTCGTCTGTGGACGAACAGGCACAGCTGGTTGCTTCAGTTGGTTCACTTGTAGGAGGAGGAGGCTCCACGGATAACAGAGGAAGGCATCGGATTCTCGCTGAACTCAACCGTCTTGAACAAGAACTCAAATTCTTGCAGGTTTCTTATTTTCCTTTCTCTCTCTCTCTCTCTTTTCTTGGGTTCTTATTGCCACTGGCTTGTTTTCTCTGAATGTTGTTTGTTTCCCGGGAAAATTCTTCCTTGGAAAACATTTCCCTCTTCTTTCTTTTCTTTATTTGAGGTTCCAATTCTAAGGGTAAATGCAAAAGTTCTCTGCTTGGCTGTTAAAAGTAATGAAAGGAACTTTCTTTCTGAAAAAGAAAAGTCATATGGTTTATAAATCAAGACATTGCTTCTTTAAGCTTTCTAGAAATCAGAGTTTTACGGAAAAATTTCTTGGGATGGAAAATGGGTCTGACTACATATTGAAATTGGGGCTTAGAGTGGTCAGCCTTGAGGGCTTGTGATGCAGTTTACTCTGACTTTATAAGGTGTCAATTAACGAAATTTGATAATAGGGAGGTAATTAATCATCTGTATAATCGGTGAGGTTAGCAGATAAGCTGCAGACTTAGTCAACAGCACATTGGCAAGAGCAGAGGGCTGAAGAACTGTAAACTCATTGTTCTACGTGGAAACTATATGTGACTAGAAAACTAAAGAATGTACCTTTAATTCTTCAATAGTAAATAGAAAGTTGGCCTCTTTCACATTGGATTTATTAACAGCTGTTTTAGGGGTAAAATCATACTGCTTGAGTTACTGTATATAACTTGTTGCAAATCAACGGTGCGAATGGCCTATTTGACCGACAAGTTCTTTGTTGATCGGAACGGATAATCATTTGGCCCTTGATGACCTTTGCGTGCATTTTGTGTTATCATGTTGTATCATAGTCGAGCTATAAAACGAACGACTTCACAGCTCAGGTCTTAGAATGTGTTATCCAGACCTCTTGTATTTAGGTTTCCAAGTGAAACGTATAGTTTTTTTTGCCTGTTCCAAGGCATTGATCCTGTAGGGACTTTCCAGCCTTAGAACTTGTACCAAAGACTCTTGGGAATGCTTGTGTAGGAACTTTAAATTGCCATCTTTGCTTGGTTTCTTCTGGGGATGTTTATATTTCATACTCCTTGCAGAACTCTAGGTCTTGTTCTAATAATTTGGGGATTTCTTCAAAAATTTCTATTTATGTAGCTACATTCTGTGGTCTTCATAAATAACTAGCAAACAGCCTTCTGGTGCAAAACTACACCCTTTTAGACAGAATAAGCGCTTGCAAGTTGCATGCTATTAATCAGTTAAATGTATCGTTTCATTCATGGCATTACCCTTTTAGGCAAATGGTAATTTGATCAATGATGACGGGGGATTCAAAGAGCTCTTCCAACCTTGGGAAGAGAAATGCCACTAGATTAAGAGCTAATTGGTCCAATTGTCAAAATGGTCATGGCGGGTAACAGGAAGAGGGCCAACGTTCTATGGGGTTGTCTTGTTCATGCTGTATTCTGGAACATTTGGTTAGAACGTAACTGGAGAATTTTTAAGGAAACCGTGGGGGTGGACTCAGACGAACTTTGGGATAGAGTGAAGTTTGGGGCCTCTCTTTGGGCATCCGTTTCTGCTGAGTTTAAGCACTATCATTATTCTACCATTCTGCGAGACTTTAGCGCTGTCTTAGTTTGATTATGTCCCTCTCTTAGGATTGTTCGCTAAATCTCTTGCTGGGGTTTATTTTCTTACAGTCCTGTCCTCTTTCTCTTTGTTTATAGTGTAGTCCTGTCTTTTGTTCTGTTCTGTTTGAGGAGGATTTCTTATCCCCTCTTTATCAATACAACGTTTCTATTAAAAAATAATAATAAAATAGGTCCAATTGTAACTTTTTTTGTACATTCACATTTATGCCAAGAGACATTATTTTATCTCTATCGTTGTCATATAAAAAGTGCTGCAGAAAAGTCACTGTTGTGTTTGTACACACTCAGTTTACATTCTTATGTTACTTTCTTGCTTTGCATATCAGGAAGAGTTGGGAGAGCTCGAAAGGACTGAGAACGTTTCGACCATATGTTCAGAGTAAGTATAAGCAACGATTCTTTAATTATGAGCAAAGACCTAAAGGATAATCATAATTCTCAGAAGTTTTAGTATATCCTGTCCAAACATGGTAAATCTGATAAACTCAATGATAAGTGATAATCTCTTTTTCATTCATGCTGCTTAGATTGCTGCCCTACGCCGAAGGCACGGCGGATCCTCTACTTCCAGTGTAAGTTGTATAACCAATCTCCTCTCTTTGAAACAACCAAAATTGCTTATATTTATAATGCTCTATCCTCTGATTTATTCTGATTGCAGAACAAATGGACCTGTAAATCTATTATGGGATCGATGGTTCGAAGGACCTCAGGATTCACAACGTTGCAGTTGTCGGATACTCTGATTTAATGCAATCTAACATTGCTAGCACCATTCTTAATTTTTCGTCTTACGTTCAAAATTTTGTATCAGGTCTGGTACAAATGGTCTTTAGGTTGACGGTATTGAATGTAGAATTTACCAATGACTTCGTATGAAGTTTGTACATTAAATTCACCATATGTAATTTGTTGCTCATTTCCACTTCATTTTGAACTGGCGCTCATGTACTAACCATAAAGCAAAAAAATAAAGCAAATGTGGGTTAGGTCAAGATATTGTGCTCCCCTTTGCGCCCGGGTTCAATCTCCCTACCCTATGGGTACATTGAAGTATTTTAGACTATCACCTGTCCAAAACAAAAAAACAAAAACAAGAGGGTAAAAAATCTCTGTCTGGGCCTTTAGTGGCTGCTGTTGGTAAGGGATTAGTCAAATTGAAGCCGACTTGAACTTCATCCCAATCAAAGTCGTGAAATTTGTTGTAAGATTGTAGACATGGGCTTGGGTGAAAACCCTGCACCTGTAACTGGGGTTGCTGGTGTTGAGACTTTTTAATCAACCCAAAATTTCAGGGCCGACTTTTGGACAATCTAAAAGACTTGAAACTGTTTGTCCCACACAATGTTAGGCTACCCAAGAAAAGATTTTGTAACCCAAAATTCCAGGCTTGAGTGTTCCGGTCAGATTCAGATCAATCGGATGGGGGCCCTTTTTTATTATTTATTTTTTAGGAGAGAGGGGAAACTCACACACACGGATATTATAGGGGTTTGAACCCACGACCAATTGAGAGAACACCAACGACCTTGAACCAATCCAACTAACACTTCATTGCTAACAAATAAATACAGCAAGAAGTTGGGTAAATTGGTAAAAACGAACAACAATCAACATCACAAGACAACTGCATCAACAATACCTGGCAATTAATTCAGAAGGGGCTGTTGTTGTCGAACTTGATGAAACCTTGTTTCAAAGTTCGCAATTTGCAGATTCAATTCAAGTATTGGGCCAGCTCATAATTGACCATATTTAACATAATCATGATTAAAGAAGCAGTTAACCTTCCAAGTGTAACATATTAATGTGATCAGAAAGTATTAATTGATCATGTGCTGTTTAATCAATGTATTATAATATACACACATGGTCTTAGTCAAGTTAATTCTGGTCGCATTAGGGGATAAGATTTTATAAACAGAGAGAGAATATAATTTGCTATCAACTAATTAGACCCCATTTTAATAACCTAGTCCAAATCACATTCCTATACATTGCATCATCATTACATTACATATAACTTATAAGAAAGATGCATTGGTGTTTGAACTTAAAATAAAAATTAACTTTCATAGGAATGCTAAACAACATTATTAAACCCTTAATACTTGATTATGTTAAGGATTCTCTTAACACCTTATCTCACCATTTGCTTGCTTCAATGGAATTCCCTCTCCTCCCTGCACTTTTGAGGAGAGAGAGAGAGAGATGAGGGGGCCATGTGAGGGCACAAGGCATCATCCATTGAAATGAGAAAAGCCCATTACTTTAGGCAGATTGGCTACGCTTCCCAAGCGAAGTGGGAAGTGAGACCCAACCAATAGCAATCAATCTTCACTTAGTTTTTTTAACATTTCATTTTGTGAAGTGAGAAAGAACCTAAAAAAAGACCGTTAATTATAAGCATCTCTAGCTTTTACCGTCACTTTCACTTTGTCCTCCTGTTTGGAGCCATTAGTGCATAATTAGCCGTCCTAATTATAATCCAAATATGTCTCGGGAAGATCCTGCAATGCAAATTATACCCACCAATATTTTAATCCCTAATTAAAAACATTATCTTTCATCTCAATTTAGCAAAGTAAATTGACCTATAGAGCCAGTAACTTAGCTGCTTTATTCATCTGCCATCACATGCTTAAGATTTGCCAGCACAAAAGACTTTAAAAACAACTAGCTATAAGCAGCTTTGTGGCCAGGCACGTGAGAAAGATAAACGAGTGTAACACTATTTTTCTATTTTCGATCAACAACGTTATGACACGTATAATAACATTTTCACATGACAAAGTATTATTGAGATTTTTTAGCCCTAACTCAGATAAAACATGAAAAATAATGGAGCAATAATACTACAAATTAATGAATTTGGAATAAAATGCAACTTGTTAGTATTAATTAATGTGTACAGTATGTGGATATATATTGCTTTTAATTTAGACTGCTTGACCTTGACATTTAATCTGAATGTTTATGAATGATTTAGGAGAGATAAGAGGCAAGATCTAGCACAAAAACATGCAAATGTAACGTAGACGTCATTGTCATGTGCATGGCTTTATCTCCTTCCTTTTTTTTTCCTCAATTAAAATCTAAACCTCTGAAAAGAGAAGATAAATATGTCGTTTGCATGCACATGTCGGAAATTTATTTTTTTTTAGTGCAAGCGATAGTTTAAACTATAGGGGAGGGAGTTTCTCACACACACGCAACCAATATACCGTGAGAAACCTGAGACTTCTTATCTACAGTAAAAGCTTTTTTCCACTAGACTAGACCAGTTGGCCTTGGAAAAACTGTGCCTTCGCTTTTGGATATTTGTGAAATTTTTGTGTTCGTCTTCTTTCTAAAATGACAGAAATTTGGGAGGAGACTGACTATAGAATTTACAATACAAAGAAGAAGAAGGATTGGCGATTTAATTAAAGCTAATAAGCCTTCCCTGCTAAGTGCCAAATATGCCAACCCTATAATCACATGTATTAACACATGAGGACTGAGGATTCTCCTATTCAAAACTTGCACTGAAATATCTCATGTTTGAATTTGACCCACGAGGAGAATCCTGCGAAATACCCAAAAAAGAGAGATTAATCAAAACCATAATGGAGCCAAAAATATATATGCAATGATTGCAAATTTAGTTTGATTTTTACCAAATAAAGTTAACAATTTGTAGAGTCAGGTCCATGAATGACCCCCACCCCCCTCATCAATTGCTTCAATTGCGGGTGCAAAAATACAAAAACTGGGTGTGTAGATGCAGTAAATTTGGAGCAGAAAATGCACCTATTCATTTTAAGCATACAAATTTGATCCCTCTCTTCGTACATTAATTTAGAATATCGCTTTTTTAATAGAAATGGAAATAAAATAAAATAACATTTGTCACCATGTGGGTAAGCTTTAGGAGGTCACAGTATGATTCTCAGAGGTCCGTCCAACTAGTACCATGGGTGGAGGGAGGGAGGAGGAGAGTCAGGAGTTCAGAAATGCCATCTCTTTTCATGATTGATTCAGCATTCCCAAGTACCCATTTCCTCCAATCAACTCATATGCAGACTAAAACATATGTCAGGAAGCATATTAAATTAATAGATACAAGGGTATGTACAATTATTGGGGTGGGGATCAGCTTTGAATATTCAATCTTATTAGCTACCAGCAAACCTAGTTGGGCAGCTCTCATATTCCTCACCTAAATAAAACCAACAAACCCTCATGGATTTTAAGATTAAAATGGTGATGGTCTACAAATAAAGTAATTGAAATTTGCTTATAGCAGAAGGCGGACCGGTATTTGTTTTCTTATGAGATGCATTGCTAGGCTAGCTATCTTCTTTGCATGGACAGGGGTGGATAGAGGCTAAAGTTATTAAGATATAAGGCTATGAGGAATGTGTGCAGAAGAGGAGGGTCGGTGAGAGAACATGGGATTTTCAGGTTGGGGAACTGTGCTATCTTACCACATTCATATAACCAGAACATGGGAACTTGAAAGAGGAAGCTATGGGGCCCCACTGTAAACTAATAATCACATGAGGTGGGTTAGTAAAAAATATTTATCTATCTCGATTCATTGCCGACCTCTCTCTATTTCTCTCGTTGTTTTGATAAGATAGATAAATAGAAGGAGATAATGAAACGGGAATATGGAAGTTTTTCTCGTTAGTCAAACTGTTTCTTTTTAGAAAGAACAAAAACAAGTTTGCAACTTCTTTTTTTTCATATAGCAAAAATCTCTTTAATTATGTTGTGTGGTATAATTTTGTGTGTGTTTTTGTGAAGTTAAAAAAAACACAAGTGGAACTGTGGAAGAAGGGATTTGCAGATCTGGATGCATGTGGATTAAATGGAAAGAGAAAGATAAAAGTAAAATATAGGGTCTGCAGTATGCTTATCTTTAATATGATATATAATAATTGGTGAGAGAGAGAGAGAGAGAGAGAGAGAGAGAGAGAGAGAGAGATGCTAGGTTGAAGAGAAGAGATATGAAATACATAACAGGTGGAAATGCTCAGAAGCAGCATGTACACAGAGTAATAGGGTCACATGGAGCAACCAGATAGGCCATGGGTCTTTTGCCTAAAGACAATACACATGGGGTTGGCAGCCTGACCCCAATTTTGTTCATGATTGAAACCCCACTTATCATTATCATGAGCTCTCTCTTCTGCAACTTATTATACATAGTGCAACTCCCAAAAACCCTCTGTTTGGCAATCAGGGAAGTGATTTTTCTGGTCAAGGGGTTATTGTGCAGTCCAATAATGAAGGGATATGTTATCCACATACACAAATTGCCACCAATTTGGATAAATTCGTTTCAAAAGGCACATATACACCATAAGACCGTCATTCTCATGCTACTATACAGCACAACTATGTTCTTATCTTTCTCCTCACGTCACAATATATCATTCATGTTCATATCTCTCCACACATTACGTGACGAGATAGGCACTATACATTGGTGATATACTTATCCCCCTTATACATTCATATATTATATATGAATGTCATACAATGTGTGTTGTGTATAGAGCGACTGACAGAAAACAGAGAAGCTTTTGATACCATCTCCTTAAAAATATTGAGTTCAAGTAACCCCATCTGGTTGACCAATTGACTTTAAGCTCTCCATTCGAGAGATCAACTCATAATCGACCAAACACAAACTAACTTTGCACTTTATAAGCTGTTTTGCCCAGAATTAATAATGCACACAGAAAAACCAAGATATAATAGATGAGAGATTAACTTAACACCATTAACCATGGCCTAATACCTAATTAAACCCAAAAGATTAACTATATCTGAGAGAATATGTACTTGTGCTCACCTAAACCAAAGCAACCCAAGTAGCTATTATATGGTGGATTTGGCAACCCCATGTCCATAAGTTGAGAATTCTAGCGTTTTGTGTTTGGAGTTAATTATAATTAACAAGCTTGATCACTTGGGTTATATTACTTTTGGTGATTTTTCATGCTATATTTTGCCTTCTAATTTAAGAAATGTCATCGAATTCAACAGATTGTTAACTCTCCCATGGCATATAAGCTATTAATATGTTTTTTTCCCAAAGCGAATTTGCCACCAACAGTGGCAGCATCATCCGCTAAAATTTGTCCCACATTCGTTTTTATCAAGACCAAGATTAAAAAAAAAGTCAGTAACCACATATAGTAATATTATGTGTGTTATATTTGTACGCATATTTAGGCACGCATTTGCTGTAACCTTAAGCAAATACGCCTGGAGAATTATTTTAAAACCTTTTTGCTCAGATAAGTAAGTGTACCGTTACTCGGGAAACTAAAACCCTAAATTTAAAATGAACAAGAATTTATGGAATTCAGAACAGATATTAAGGAGGGAAAGCAGAGACCCCAAATGACCTTTGTTCAAGTTGGGGCTTTGGGCACTCATATCATGGCATATTATTGGTAATTAATATGGTGTGTGGATTGCGTAAAATGCAAGCAGTTGATCATAGAGAGTGGCATCTTTAGCATATCACCAAATGATTGTGGTCTCTTCTGCCTTTCTAGCATCTAAAAAAAGTTTGGTTGTAATCAGATGAAACGAATGCGACTTCACATTTACCATTTCCCTTTTTAAATACGACATGATTTCAACTTAAAATTCACTACTACTTCAATGCTAGCTGAAATTCCAAATTTGCTTCATTTTTCAAATTGGATGAAAATGAAATGATTGATATCGGATTGACAAGGAATACATACTGCTATTAAAGAAAACAGGAACACACATGTAGGTTAGGCCAGTTGATTAGGACACTAAGTCCGTCTCATTGTACTCAAATTCGATGTTTATTTTCCATAGAGTAGATTAATCAGCTTAACTAGATGCTTTCATAATAATTCAACTCGATGTGGCGTCGATAATTGTCATAATTCCCTTGAATATTTCAATCAATCTCTATCAAAGTATGTTATGCCATAATCACCTTTTGTTTATCCATATTTCTAGTCCTTCCACCGTCAATCATTCATTATGCTAATTGTAAGGATCAAAACTTCACAATTACCTTTATGTGTGTGAGCAATAACACATAGTTGTTGCCAAATTTATAAACCTAAGTGTCCAAGACCTATTATGCATGATTTGATTCAAGTCATCGACCATGTTTGAGGAAGAATGTCGACTTTGTTTGGGAATTCTCACCAAGCGGTGAGCCCTATCCATCCTCTCTGTATTCCTCATACGTGCCAAACTAAACAGCCACCCTTATACATTACATCATCCACGTAGCAAACCCCGTAAGGTTTTATGTCGTCCTATTGCTTCCTGCCCCTTGATTCTCTCCAAGACCATAGTCAGTGGTCCGTTATACCTGTGTCCTTACGTGGACTCCGCTCCACCTGTAACTTCACACGCCCTCCACGTGGCCCTCAATCAGGTGGGTCCCTGAGCCGAGATTGAGTTGTCACGACCACTGGCGGATCCACAGAGGAGCAAAGAGGTGCAGCTGCACCTCTCCTCGCCGGAAACTTTCTGGGGATGTCAGAATTTGCCCCTTCGCTATTGCCACTGGCGGATCCACAGAGGAGCAAAGAGGTGCAGCTGCACCTCTCCTCGCCGTAAACTTCCTGGGGATGTCAGAATTTGCCCCTTCGCTATTGCCCACCAATTGTTCGACTAAATGCCTCAAAGATGTTGTTTTGTTTGCTGCTGTGTGAGACTCTAAATGTTTACCTTAGATTGTTGGGCTCGATCTCACGAGTATGTAGGAGAAAACGGTTCATCAATCGGAGCTCCGCAACCAAAGTTATGAATTTTCGAAGTTTTTCTAAAGTTGGAGTTGCAGAGGCTCTTCGAGGAAGAAGAAAGACTCTGCTTCTCACTTTTGATTTTTTTTTTTAAATGGTCCAATAGCAAGCTGACACATGTCCATTTCTAATTGG